TGGTCACATTTTGGACGTCCTTTACCTGGTTGGCGAGACCGACTCCGATCATCAAGTTGGGCAACCATGGAGAGGGAGAAACCCTAAAAAAAACCAAAGTGCTCCGATTGACACAACGACCACAGATCCAGAAAGAGGGCGAGAAGGCGATCACGACGGTGCTGATCAGCGGCGGAAAGCTCCGGCGACGCGCCGGCACGCGCGGCGACAACGGTGACTCTTGCGGCGGCGCGTGGGTGGTCCGTTCGCCGTGATCTTCGTACCACGGTGGTCACCCGGCCGAGACGATTCCGATGGTGTGGTCGCCGATCAATTCTGGAACTCCGGCGGCGGCGGAGGCGAAGGCAGCGGCGGCGACTGCAACGACAGCGCAGTGATGGGTGCCGGAGACCGTGGAGTTGACTGGAACTATTCCTGTGCTCTAGATACCATGTTGAATATAGTGAAGAAAATTAGGAGAAATCTCCCTTATGTGTTTTGCATACACATAGGGTAGTTTATTTATAATGTAAGATATGGGTTAAACCCTAAATACAAAATGGGCTAAGCCCAATTAACAGAAACACACAACTTAACATCTAACAGAGAGAAAAAAAAGAGAAATTGTATTGCATTCTGAAAAGGAATTTGCCAATATAATCAAGGATGAGTTCAGCTATTTTGTAGCAGCACCGTTAGAGATCCTGTAACCTAACTATCTGTGTCTAACCGAGTTAGTCACAATAGTATTCCAACTTTCCAATACATGATTACACCATTCACAATAGTAAAAACTATAACAGAACAAATGATGTTTCGTTTTCTATTGGCATTTGGGGAAAGCTAGGTTTTCACAGGTAAATTCATTCTACTGTTATGTTTGTGATATAATTTTGACATGTATAGATTATTATTTTATATACATATTTCAGTATATGACAAATCACAGAAGTGTGTACCTAATCAACAATAGTGGACACTGGCAGGTCCAGGGACTGAAGAGAGAACTTGTAATTGCTCAAAAATCTAGAAAGGCAGCATCCGCCTCATTAAGGATGGCTTTTCAAAAAGCTGCCCAACTACGACTAACAGAGAAGGAGAAGAATAAAAGTCCTTCCTATGCTATGCGCATATCTTTGCAAATTAATAAAGTTGTTTGGAGCATGCTTGTTGATGGTAAATCCTTTGCTGAGGCTGAGATTAATGACATGGTAAGAATTATTTTCTGAACCCTGTGCTCTCTTCTTTATATGTGTCCTTACAAAATTTACTGAATCCACGTCAAATTTGCATCTCACAAGTACCCAATGTTTTCTCAATATCAGTTCTACTATGTATCATGTTTTTCTTACCAAGTTAATATATATATATGTGTGTGTGTGTATATATATATATCAATTAAGTAGATTCTAAATCTAAAGTTTCTTGCTTTGACATGTGTTTGATTTAGGTAATTTTAGAGAAATAATTCCGTTTTATGTCAGCTTCCTGAGAGAGCTTTTATAAAAGGTGATTCTTTCTAGTGAAAAGATTTTCCAAACACCGGGCTAAGACAAAATTTTCCCTAGACTAGATGATATAAAAGGCATTTGTACATGATTGACGCTTTCCTTATACCTTAGTAAGCCATTGAATGTTTTATCATTAAGTGCTATTTTGGACAATGGAAAAAAAACATTAGTCTTTTCTAGTTTAGTTTTTGTTTCTTATCTTTGCTCCTTTGCTTGAGAATGGTGGGTCGTTGCTAGCAATTTGTTTTGTATCTATTTTTGTTCATTTCTTTTTGGTCACAATTTGGTTGGTTAAACTGATTATGTTTCATGTTGCCAAATACTAGATATATGACTTTGACCGGGATTACAAGGATGTCGGCATTGCTCGGTTTACAACAAAATATTTTGTTGTCAGAAATTGCCTGCCTAATGTCAAGTCTGATATGCTTTTGTCAGCATGGAATCCTCCATCTGAATGGGGAAAGTATGTAGTTTTTGTGGAGTTTCTCTTAATTCCTTGGTGCTTATGGTGTTATTGTGATATTTGTTGCCATGCTGTTCAAACTTTTTTTAATTTTATATAATTTGTCAACAAATAAAAATATATATTGTAAAAAATTAAGTTAGGTAGACTTTTAATTTACTTGAGGTTCATATTATAAGCTCAATATAAAAATATTCATTATAAATAATGAAAATCAAAGTGGTTTAACTGGTTTTCCACATCAGTTCTTACTCACTTTGGACTGTTTCTTACGGCTTATTTGCTCCACCTGGAAGTCTGAACCAGTGATCTTACAAATTCTAATGCAATGTCCGGTTTTAATAGTTATGCTTCATTTTATTGGAGTTTTAGGTATGATAGAAAACAGAGAAAAGATTAATAGAAGAATAATGGATTATTATTGCACTGAATGAGAAAGAAGATACAAGCTGAACATATATAGGCTCAAGAAAAGGTTACAACAGTGATAAACTAATCGAAGCAGAAAAACAGATAACTAGCTGACATCCAGTTGAATAACTGAATGTTTACATTTATTCTCTAATATCCGCCTCAAACAAAAGGGAAAGGATTCTTACACGAAAAATCCTGCAGATCAAGTTTATGTCAAAGAAGTACAAAACGGTTAGAAGAAAGAGGCTTGGTTAGAATATCTGCCCACTGATCCTAGATAGGAATATGATAAACTTCAAGTTTGGATAACACTTGATCACAAACACAAAAAACAGCAATCTCCTCGTACTTCGTTTTAGAGTGAAAAACAGGGTTGTTTACTATAACAACAACACTTTGATTGCTGCTGAGCATGACAAGAGTGGATGAAGAAATATGCAATTCTTTCAAAAGAGCTTGAATCCCGATAATATCTGTTAAAGATTGCGCGAAGCTGTGATATTCAGCTTCAGTGCTTGATATGGTAATGACATGCTGCTTGCAGGACCACCAAGAAATGAGATTAGGTCCCAAAAATATTGCAGATTCAGTAGCAGACTTTCTATCAGCATCACACAGGGCCGTGATAGAAAAGGGTTGAGATACATAGGCTAGTTGTATTTGAAGACCTTGGGAAAGAGGGCCCTTAAGGTATCTTAGGATTCTTTTAACTTCTCTCCAATGAGTGTCCAAAGGATATCATATGAATTGACTGACTTTGTTGACATCAAAATTGATATTAGGTCTTGTAAGAGTAGCATATTGCAAAGCTCCAACTACTGATGTATACAGTAGGATCAGAAAATAAATCTGATCTTGTTTTAGATAGTTTGCAGGATAAGACCATAGGAGATTATATAGGTTGAGCTTCAGTTATTTGTTTTATGCAAAAGGTATCTTTTATATTTACTGAGTCATCACAAGAGTCTTGTCAGAAAGATAGTTGATTCAAGACATTAAATTGCAACGAAGCAGTGGGCAATCTATTGATTAAGTAGACAACAATATTAGAGTCAGTGTCCCAAAATTTTAGAGGAATAGAGGCATGATGTAAGAATGTTAATAATAATGCGGCTATGTGCCTGTGTTTTCTTTGACAATACCAAATTGGTGGTGAGAATGAGGACAAATACATCTGTGTTATGGCATAAGTGGCAAGAAATGAGGTAAAGGAACCTGAATTCAGCCCCCACCCCAATCAGTTTAAATACTTGTTAATTTTGGTAGAATGTAGTTCAACCATAGACTTAAAATTCTGAAAAAAAGTAAGGGTGTCAAATTTAAGTTTTAAAGGATAAAGGCAAGTAAATCATGAAAAGGCATCAAGAAATGACCATTGGTGGATGAAATATGTGAAGGTCCAAAGATCGCTAAGGATCAATTCAAAGGGTGAATTATAGTTTCAGAAGGAGAGGAAGGGAGATTGAGTTTTCGCTACACAACAGGATATACAGAAGTCCAGGTTTTATTAGTCGGATTTTTTTAGCAATGATTGACTTAAGATTGAAACTGTAAAATAATTCTAGAGGGCTTAATTGATCCCTTTCAAAATCTTCTATTTATATACACAAGTACATGATAAATAGGGTAATCCTAGACACAATATAATCATGATAAATAGGATAATCCTAGACACAATATAATCATGATAAATAGGGTAATCCTTGACACAGTATAATGATGATAAAATAGGATAAATATCCTAACACTCCCCCTCAAGCTGGAACATACAAATTGTATGTACCAAGCTTGGAACAAATAAACTCAATCCGAGGACCCCTTAATGACTTGGTCAATACATCTGCGAGTTGATCGTTTGACCCAATAAACTCAGTACATATTTCTTTGGTCAACAACTTTTCACGAACAAAATGACAATCAATTTCTATATGTTTAGTCCTCTCGTGAAACACTGGATTTGATGCAATGTGGAGAGCAGCTTGATTGTCGCAATACATCTTCATAGTATGGATG